CATTTCATGAGAATAAAAAAAAAAATTATACTTTTTATAAAAACACTATTTTACATTAAAAGTAAGTTTTCCGATTCTGAACTTCCTTTACATATCCATTTAACTGTTTGTATTCCAGATCATGGAGCAGTTGCCTTTATTTGCTCTGTTATTGTCCACGTTATTTGAATTTCAACTTTTTTCACTTTCATGTAAGTAATCAATCATTGCATTCATATCCTAAGTCAATACCGGTTTTTTCTAGAATTTTGAACTATTTTATCGGCTGATAATAGGCTTATATAAGCCCGAAACATGTACCATTGATGATCTTCGATCATTTCAATAAAAGTTGTGAGGATGACTTTGGGTTTTTCATCTATGAACTACACCACTCCACTTTGAGTTACCATGGACTTCTTTCAAAGATTATTTACCTTAGTCAAAAAAAAATTACTTTTCATTAGAGAATATCCTTGAATAATGGTTATTTCTCAGGTAAGTGGTGGAAAAACTATATTTTCTTAAAGTTTACACTTATGTTGACGTATGTTCCCAACTAATTCATAGGTTTCAGTGTCTGAACCACCACAAGAATCTGATTTGATTCCAAATCGAAAGTTTTTCATGGAACAACGGAATATACATTGTATGCCTTCATTTTCAATTTCTCACCTGATAAAACGAAGATCTACTTGTGTTATCGTCATAGTTATCATACCTACCTATCCTCAGCTATACTAATTGTCAAATTTCTAGCAATGAATATTCTACTGATAACAGTAGTTGTAGTTTTCTGTAAATTCATCCGTGAGCAAAACACTAAACAGTCCAGATTGACAATGTCCTACAATAGTTATTCGTTTAACTAGGCAGCAAAGTAGTAGATTGACTGCCGAGGCTGAATTCATAGCCGAGCGTAGCGAGGCTAGGAATCCAGCTAAGGCAGTCAATCTACTTTGCTGCCGAGTTGAACATATAATTTTTGCTCCGATTGTTCATCATGATATAGGAGGATATTGTATTTGCAAATTATTACAATTCCCACAATCTCTTTATTTTTCCTGTAGTGTTCAATTAAAATAAAATTTGATAGAAATCGCAGTTGTTGGAATGGTTGGTTGCTATGGAAATGTCCATAATAATAATTATAGTTTGACAATTCATGAAATTTTTGACAGTTATGCAAGAAAATATCGGTATATTTAAATTATTATACAATGGATAGTGATAGCGACCTAGAAGTACTTACACCTCCAGAAATAAGAGAGGTGGCAAAAAATAAAGAGTTGGATTTGTTGCGGGAGAAGTCTCGGATGAAATATGAATTATAAATTTTGCTGATACATATCAATCAGCAAAGTACCCACTTTGCTGCCTAGGCAGGAAAAGTAATACTTTGCTGATTGATATGTGTCAGCAAAATTAATATTTGCTGCCAATCGGAAAAAAAAAGGGAGTTCTTGAAACATGATGTTCTAGATGTATAAAATGTTGACTGCATATGAGTGAGAAACTTGAATTAGCAGTCTCGGCGAATAATGGTCTTTCCAGGAGGGACAGCTGCATCGAGCATCGTCCATGATGATGATAGCGATCGATAGAAGAATAATTAATTATAGGTCTGCAACGTTTCTTTGATGTTGTGAGGTTTGCAGTGATCTTGTCAGAATTGGGTCAAACCGACCCAAGCAACTTCAGGGAATGTTTTGGAGCTGATTGCCAGTCATTTGCGGTGAGAGAAACACTTCTTGGCGCTATTTGATTGAGATTGTTGTAAATCTCCATTATAAAATGGTTGATCGGGGTGATGATAATACCATACAACCTTCAAAATTGTCCGACAACGTCAGATTTTTCGGTAATCGACACTTGATATGATTCCAAGTAAGGGGTGGTCACCCCGTAAGGAACGTTGGCGCGTCTAAATCTTCATGTTGACATGGTTGATCGAGGTCATGATGATATCCTACGACCTTCGAAATTGCCTGACAACGTCAGATTTTTCGGTAATCGATACTTTATATTATTTCAAGTGAGGGGTGGCCACCCCGTAAGTAACGTTGGCCCGTCTAAATCTCTATGTTGACATGGTTGATCGAGGTCATGATGGTACCATACCACCTTCAAAATTGCCCGACAACGTCAGATTTTTCGGTAATCGACATTTGATATGATTCCAAGTAAGGGGTTGTCACCCTGTAAGGAACGTTGGCGCGTCTTAATCTCTATGTTGACATGGTTGATCGAGGTCATGATGGTACCATACGACCTTCAAAATTGCCCGACAACGTCAGATTTTTCGGTAATCGACACTTGTTATGATTCCAAGTAAGGGGTTGTCACCCCATTAGGAACGTTGGCGCGTCTAAATCTCTATGTTGACATGGTTGATCGAGGTCATGATGGTACCATACGACCTTCAAAATTGCCCGACAACGTCAGATTTTTCGGTAATCGACACTTGATATGATTCCAAGTAAGGGGTTGTCACCCCGTAAGAAACGTTGGCGCGTCTAAATCTCTATGTTGACATGGTTGATCGAGGTCATGATGATACCATATGACCTTCAAAATTGCCCGACAACGTCAGATTTTTTGGTAATCGATACTTTATATTACTCCAAGTGAGGGGTTGTCACCCCATTAGGAACGTTGGCGCGTCTAAATCTCTATGTTGACATGGTTGATCGCGGTCATGATGGTACCATACGACCTTCAAAATTGCCCGACAACGTCAGATTTTTTGGTTATCGACACTTGATATGATTCCAAGTAAGGGGTTGTCACCCCGTAAGGAACGTTGGCGCGTCTAAATCTCTATGTTGACATGGTTGATCGAGGTCATGATGGTACCATACCACCTTCAAAATCGCCCGACAACGTCAGATTTTTCGGTAATCGACACTTGATATTTTATGATTCCAAGTGAGAAGTGTCCACCCCGTAAGGAACGTTGACGCGTCTAAATCTTTATGTTGACATGGTTGATCGAGATGATGATAATACCATACGACCTTCAAAATTGCTCGACAACGTCATATTTTTCTGTATTTGAAACTTAATATCATTCCCAGTGAGGGTTTTTCACCCGTTAGCAATGTTGGCTTGTATTAATCTTGTCTTCATCAATTTTGAGGAGTCACTACCCTCTGAATAATTTTCCAGAAATGTTCTCGATGAGCATATACTATATATTATTATGTATCAGACCTCAAGTCATTGTCTATATAGTTATTTATGTATAACTTTATAATTGGTGAACTTATTTGTATAGTTATATTACACATCGTAATGGATCCCTATATCAAATAATATTGATGAAATTACCAGTATTTTGAGTTCTTCTGTTAATTTTCATTCAAAATGAATTATCGGACACTATTCATCTGGCCCGCTAGGAATTGGCGAGAACGCAGATTTAAATCTGAAGCTAACTTCAGCCACATACCGGAGTTGCTTCTTTCCGCTATTTTTTCAATAATTGTTGAGTTCACATATAGATCATAGTACATAAAACATGCTAAGAAATTGTAAAATTGAGCAACGAAAATCCAAATAGGTGTTTTCACTCGAAAGCATGAAGTTGACAATGTATAACTTCTTTGGGCTACCTTGTATACATACTTCTACCATCAGAAAAACAGCATCAAAAAATAAAATTCGACAGGTCCGAGCGGGAAGCACTGTATGTAATAGTTTCTAGACCTATACCTACCTGTGATTGAAAGGAATATTCCGAGGGGCAAACCGCTAATGAAGTCTGGTGTACACGTTGAAGAAGTCTCGATGAAGTCAGTGAAGTCACGATGAAGTCAGTAAAATCACGATGAAGTCACTGAAGTCTCGATGAAGTCAGTGAAGTCTCGATGAAGTCAGTGTAGTCATGATGAAGTCAGTGGAGTTTCGATTAATTCTTATACTGAAAATCGTAATTAATACGTACCACGTTTGTCTGAATTTCTCGCGAAATACAACAGTCTTCTATTCTCGCGTCAATCCGGGTGACCCTTCTTTCCCGAGTTATTTCCTTTTCGCCTTGAGTCGAGTCATAACTTGACTAGCCAACTCTGGCCTCTCGCTTAAAAAATAACCCTAGGTCCAGGCTCTATTAAATTTTGTTGGCATAATTTTGGCAACTTTCTCTCACGGAAATGATTTGTGTTTTCGGAAAACCCACCCACAATCAGTCTCAGGTAATGTAATGTTGAAGATTCTGAAAACTGTGTCGCAAAATGTTTGCTTTCAAGAAATATTGTATTTTTTTCTGTTATTAGCTACGTTGAACACTAATTCCATGATTTGAGACATTGAACATGAATTTCAAACTATTTTTGATACTTCTCGATTGTTTCTCTCCCTGTATCTCAGGAATTATTCATTGTAGACGACAAGTGAATGGAAACTTTTTCATTGAAAATTTCATGTTGTTCAACTTTGTATACCTTCATTTTTCCGCTAGAGTTCGCGATTGTCGAATTATTCAAGAACAACAAAAATGACCTTCAAACGTTCCCCTACTGCTCCGCTCAACCCCTAGGGACCAGTAGTTGTATGTTGTTCAAGGCACTTTCCTTCATCAATCTACAGAAATTTGCGACTACACGATTTTTTCCCCTATTTTTTGTTCGTTTACTGAACTACATAATGACGTCACTTCTCAACGAAATTGAATTTTCAATGATTGTCGTGATATCTCAATGAAAACTGTTGTCCCAAGAAGTATCAATAAAGCCACTGAAGTCTCGATGAAATCAGTGAAGTCTCGATGAAGTCAGTGAAGTCACGATGAATTCACTGAAGTCTCGATGAAGTCACTGAAGTCAGTGAAGTCATGATGAAGTCAGTGGAGTCTCGATGAAGTCAGTGAAGTCTTAGTAAAATGTGAATTTTCGTCCTCGGTTCGCCCCTCGGAATATTCGATGGATATTTTGGGATAGTTTAGCATATTTAGCGAATATTCCATCTAGTATACTGCAGAGGTAGGTATGAAAAATGTTCTCATAAGTCTATTTTCCCAAATGTATAATAATATTGGGTAAGGTAAAGGCTCGGGTAAATGTACCAGCCTCCTTGTTTCTTGAATTTGTTTCTCTAGCAACGCCTATGTGGCAAACTGTGTTTTGAGTGACTGACTCAGGCAGTCTCTTCATATCATTTATTTCCCGTTTGTTGCACCTAAGCAGACCTAAGTAAAGGTCGAAGGTACGATATTGTGATTTACATTTTCCGTAGGCGGTCAACTTAATAGGTAGGTACTCGATTGGTACAGCTGGCATACATACAGGGTGCATGTCTATTATGAGCACATGAATTTCAATCACAGAAATTACTCATCAAACTATCACTTTACCTATACTAATATTATGAAATCCAACACCTACCTCCTCTCCCTGTCCTCCATAGGAACGCGCGATGTTCCACGAACATTATAGGAATTTTCTTTCGTGCGCTCCAAGAGATAAATGAAAAGAAGTCTCACCTCTTGAAATTGGGGTAGGTATAAGATTCTGGACTCCCATATAGAATTTGAAACCATTAGGTAATGTATTCGTCACGAGATTCGTCAGGACTAAAGTGGCATCTTTTTATGATGCATAAGTCAACGTTTTCTGTCTCCTCCTTTGATAATTATTCGACCAAATACTACAAAAAAGCCGCAGAAATTTACATACTTATCGAGATACTTATATTTACATTGTCTGCATTAGATATATCACGATAATTCAATGCTAATAGGTAGGTAATGTACTAATGTATTAAAATAACAACGGTTTTCATCAGTTTTTATCTAGGTTTCTATATCGGTACTTATAATACACGAAAATTCAAGTCGTCGTCGCTAAACGGACAAGACATTTATACCGGGTGAAACCTTCACAATTCTTTCATTAGTGCCTGTATGGAAAAACCAAAAACAGTATATCTGGATTTTTGTTCCTCCTTGAATCAACGAATCTTCTTCTTTCCAGTGAATATTATGGGAAATTGAAAAGGCCCCCTAAGAGAGAGGGCTCGAGAGAGGGGTAGGTGTTACCATTACAATATCAAATAGGGAAGAGGGTCAAGTGGCACATAATCTGGAAGGGCGTTCAATTCTCTTTCCAACGGTACCCTAGTTCATCATTATCTATTGAGTATAGCTCGGAGTATAGTTTCCGAAAAATGCCGTGTCAATTAGAATCCCTTTCCACCCCTTAGTATCTTCCTTTCAGTAAATAAAATAAAAAATCGAGAAGACATGTCAATTTCATTTTCAAGGGGGACACCGAGGGGCGAACCGCTAATGAAGTCTGGTGTACACGTTGAAGAAGTCTCGATGAAATCAGTGAAGTCACGATGAAGTCAGTGAAGTCACGATGAAGTCACTGAAGTCCCGATAAAGTCAGTGAAGTCTCGATGGAGTCAGTGAAGTCAGTGAAGTCTCGATGAATCCTTTTATATACTGAATATCTTAATAAATACTACGTTTGGCTGAATTTCCTGTGAAATACAACAGTCTTCTATCCTCGCGTCAATCCGAGTGACCCTTCTTTCCCGAGTTATTTCCTCTTCGCCTTTAGTCGAGTCATAACTTGACTCCCATCAAATTATCCCAGCGAGGTTTCAAAAACAAAACACACGGTGTTGTTCAACCATTTTGCAGAAAAGAGAATATCAAAGTCGACTAAATTAAAAAAAAAACTGAGAGAAGCTCATTCAGATCAGCAGCCTTAACGTCACAGTATTCTTCACCTTTGCGTTCAACTGGATGAAAATATGGAGGGGAGGATAGATCGCTCAGTACGTATATATGTATATAAGGTGCACCGTTGCTGGATATGGAAAATATGGACGAAGATGATTATTATAATAGGCAATTATTGAAAAATATACATTCAAATTGTTTGCTTTCAAGAAAAAATTCTGTTATTGGCCACGTTGAACACTAATTCCATGATTTGAGACATTGAACATGAATTTCAAACCATTAATTTCTCTTTTTGATACTTCTCGATTTTTTCTCTCCCTGTATCTCAGGAACTATTCATTCTAGACGAAAAATGAAAAGAAACTTTTTCATAGGAAATTTCATGTTGTTCAAATTTGTATAACTTCATTTTTCCGCTAGAGTTCGCGATTGTCGAATTATTCAAGGACAACTTGCAAAAATGACCTTCAAACGTTTCCCTATTGCCCCGCTCAACCCCTAGGGATCAGGACTTTTACATCACTCTACAGAAATTTGCGACTACACGATTTTTTTCCCTATGGTTTGTTCGTTTACTGAACTACATGATGACGTCACTTCTCAACGAAATTGAATTTTCAATGATTGTCGTGATATCTCAATGAAAATATTGTCCCAAGAAGTACCAATGAAGTTACTGAAGTCTCGATGAAGTCAGTGAGGTCTTGATGAAGTCAGTGAAGTCAGTGAAGTTACGATGAATTCACTGAAGTCTCGTTGAAGTCAGTGAAGTCATGATGAAGTCAGTGAAGTCATGATGAAGTCAGTGGAGTCTCGATGAAGTCAGTGAAGTCTTAGGAAAATGTGAAGTCTGGTGTACAAATTTTCGTCTGCGGTTCGCCCCTCGGGGGACACTATGAATGCGTATTTTTAGCCCTCTTGGTTCAATCCCCTAGAAGGGGTAGATGTTACCCTCAGAACCTTAAATGAAAAAGGGGCCTAGATTCACATTATTTCAAAGGGCGTTTGATTATCATTCAAACAGTACTCTGTTTTGTAATTTTTCTATAAGCAGTTGCATATATGCACGACAAAATATAATATTGAAATGAGTAAATCTATATTATCTTGTTTCAGAGCGAATTTGAAGTTTGAATCAAGTAAATATGTCTTGCATGAACTCTGGATGTTCTTCTACCAAGCTCATCCATGAATTGTTTATGAAGAGATATTGAATTGGCTCAAACAATCATTTTGTTTGATTCAAAATAACAAGATATTGATTCAATCAAATATTTAGTTGATTCAACGAAATATTTGGTTGATTCAAAGAAATATTTTGTTGATTTTAGAGAAACTATATATCCATTCGACAAATTGTTTTGTTGAACCAAATTCAATATTCGGAAATTTTCTGAAATTTCACATCAAAAGAATAAACAAATCTAGGAAACTAGTCGACTCCCAGCATAGATCTCAAGTATTTACTTCTCGTTAGCTGATGGAAAACTATTTCGGATTGCTAATCATACTAAGTTCGATTTATCCAGCTGATATTTCAAACACGAAGAATCAGGCTTCACGTATATAATGAATTCGAGGCAGGCATAGACGAGGCGAAATGATCGCCACCTAGAGGCAAAAATTTAAGTTGATGTAGAATGAACAAAATATTTCATTGATTTTACATATTTCGTTGATCGGTTCAAGCAAATGATCCGTTCGAAACGAGTTTATTGCTACATCGGAATAAGAAAACTTGTATGTTGTTCCAAAGATATAATCTCATCAAAATGATCATTGTTTGATCAAATCAACGAAATGTTCATAGTTGAATCAACATCGACATTATTTTGGATCGACATAATTTGTTTTTGAAGAAACCATATATTTTGTTGATGGAATTGATATTATACTGTTGATTCAATTAGCCTTCATTCTTGATTTGAACAAGCTGCTTCCATGGAATAATCGAGGGAATAATCATGTATCTGGTTCATTTAACAAAAAATTGCTCAGTCCAACAAAAATAACTCAAGCATAAATAATTTGTTGATGCAACAAATCCTTTATTTCCGTGTATATACCAACCTGAAAACCATACCACTCAGTGCAGGCATGTTCTAATTTCTTCTGTGAGTCTAGAACGACATTTTTCGGAAACCATGAAAATCATCCACATCTCAAAGTTGATTTAAGTAATTTCAAAAGAAAACCAAGCATAACACAAAGTCGGTCGACCACCCATTATACAAAAATCTTCAGTGAAAAGTTACCGGTTTCGGCACTACCGCCATCATCAGACAGTGGTAACTAAAATATTATATGACAATAATGAGGACGAAACATTTTTTTTTGAACATACCAAACCATATGGGACTTAATAACATATAACACATATTGACCTGTCTTTTCGATTCTCCATATTATTTAATGGAAGGAAGCTTTCTAATTGACACGGCAATTTCCGGAAACTGCTCAACAGAAAATGATAAACTATGGTACCGTTGGAAAGAGAATTGAACGCTTTTCAAAATGATTACCATTCGACCCCCCTTCCTGTTTGAGATTATAGCATCTAACCCTCCTAGGGGATTGAATCAAGAGGGCCAAAACCGGTTCAAACTAATGATTTTATGTGTCCCATTCGAAAATAAAATTGACCCGTATTTCTGATTTCTCATATTATTTACTGAATGCGAATCTATGTGGTGCTCGACTTCGAAAACATTGAAACCTGACAATAAATTTTCTCAGAAATCATGGGATCTTCCGTTGATTGATTTGTCATCCAAACATCTCCTTGACTCAGCTAAAAACTCCCCATTTGAAAAGGCTCAAAGGCACAAAGGAATCTGGAGCATGGCTTAATGCACTTCCTGTTGCATTCCTTGGAACATTATTGGATGATGAATCTTTCAGGATATCTGTAGGCTTACGTCTAGGTTGTTCAATTTATACAATACATAAATGCAGATGTGGATCTACCGTTAACGAAAAGGGAGTTCATGGTTTGAGCTGTAAATTCAGTGCAGGTCGTTTTCCTAGACACTCTTCTGTTAATGATCTGATTAGAAGAGCTTTGACAACTTCGGATATTCCAGCTGTTTTGGAACCTTTGGGAATCAGTCGTGATGACGGAAAACGCCCGGATGGGATGTCTCTCATTCCATGGAGTCACGGAAAACCTTTAGTATGGGACTTCACATGCGTAGATACAGTTGCTGCTTCACATATCGATTCGACATCAAAAATCGCCGGAGGAGCAGCAGATTCAGCTGAAAAAATGAAGTTGAAAAAATATTCTACTTTGAGAGACCAATATATTTTTTATCCTGTTGCCATAGAAACTTACGGATCTTTTGGCCCCAAAGCTACAGAATTATTCAATCTCATTGGAAGGAAACTCATCCATAAAACTGACGATAATAGAGCTCGATCTTTCCTGATTCAGCGTATTAGTATCGCAATCCAAAGAGGAAATGCATCATCAAAATTGGGTTCTATTCCTTCCACTGAGCGATTGGATGAAATTTTTATTCGTCCACAAAAAACTTCGGAGTTCTATACTCAGCTGAATGAAAAAAGCTTCAATTTAACTCAGTCCAGCTCCTTACTCGTCATCTCAAATCCGAATCCTATCCATCGCCAAACATTTGTCAGAGACGATGATTGCTACCTCCGACCCCTCAGTAATCCGGACAATATTGCCCTAAGATCGCAGTTGCCACCACCTGTTCTGAATTCAGGCCTAATCGGTTTGAAAAATATCGGGAACACTTGTTTCATGAACAGCGTCGTTCAATGCCTGTCTCAAACTGAGTGGATGTTGGAATATTTGAGGAAGAATGCTTACTTCAATGATCTGAACAAGAGGTCATCAAGCAAGAAGGGGACTCTGATAAAAGCATTTGCAGACGTCATAGAGAAGCTTTGGTCGAACGATCCTTCGATCCGAGTCGTATGTTTGGACGATCTGAAACTTCGGATTCAAAGGTTCGCACCTCAATTCAGAGGCTCCTCGCAACAGGATGCACAAGAATTTCTTTGTTACCTGCTGGAGGGGCTGCACGAGGACGTCAACATGGCCGTAGATGAACCGAACCCGAACCCAAAGCCAGTACTTATGGAAATCGACAAATCATTCAGTTTTAATGTCGACGCAATGGATTCGTGGTCGAGATTCTTGATAATGAATAAATCTAAGTTCGTCGATAATTTTGTCGGGCAGTTGAAGTCTACTTTGAGATGCACCTTCTGTGGATATTGTTCGGAGACATTCGACCCATTTTGGGAGTTGTCTTTACCGATACCACAGCGATCAGGCCAACTCAGCTTGTCACACTGCTTGGACTCGTTTACGAGTGTTGAGATTTTAGACGGCGAGGAGAAACCAACTTGCTCGATGTGTAGAGAGAAAAGAAAATGTTTGAAGTCATTATTCATCAACAAGTTCCCAAAAATTTTAGTTATACATCTGAAACGTTTCTCGCAGACTGTAGAGTTCAGTGAGAAACTTAACACATTTGTCGACTTCCCCTTGATCGGCTTGGACATAAGCCCCTATGCAGCTGAAGATATCGTACCTTGTCCTTACAATCTGTAAGCTATCTCAAACCACAGCGGTACCACCTACAGCGGACACTACACAGCCTACTGCAGACATCTATATACGAAAATTTGGCACGAATACAATGATTCCCTGGTTTCTTCAATTTCGTCGAACTCTCTCGTAAGTGGGGATGCTTATATTCTTTTTTACCAACAAGAGGCTCACCCCAAATTCGAACAACGTGATGTTGACTCTGTGAAGAGCTACTGCTCCGTAGCTGCTCCCGATAGCACCCTTCGTACAGTCCACTATTCCGCTGATAACCACGACATGTTCAACACAGTCGTGGAGAAGCATGAAACTCCAGTTTTCCTAGCTCCAGCTGCACACTCTGACCCAGTAGATATTGTATACTCTGGTCCAGTACTGAATGTATACTCTGCCCCAGTACAGAAGGTATATTCTGCCCCACTTGCACATGCTTGCTCCAGTACGTGCAGCCCAGTATGTGCACGCTGCCCCAGTCGTTCTTTCTGCCCCAGCTCACTTGTGGAGTGAATGAAGTGGAAAACCATTATTTATTTATTATGTTATGTTTATATGTTTATTCAATTTGGAATATATTTGTTTTTACTTTTCAAAATGTCACCCTGTATTTATCTGGTCACCCGTAATACGCTGCAATCATAAGAATAAGAGGTACTCAATGAAAAAATATCGACGATATCGATAATATCGATAAATATTGAAAAATAACCGATTCATAGATAATATCGATAACAACAATAATATCGAAAATTTTTATTACATCGATAATATCGATAAACCGATAATATATCGATAAGTTGTGATTATCGATCATCCAAAATCACTATCGCCCACCCCTCATAGGTACATACCTAATATATTTTTTTTGTGACGAGAAAAAATGTTGACATTTCATCTCTGTTGATAGGTTTCATGAATTACTTTTGTCCCACGGAGAAAAAGTGAGTTTTTTTCTCGGATATTATAGGTGCACTGTTGATGGATTTTGTTGTGCCAGTTCCGAAAAATAATCCAATAATACCGTCTCCGAGATAGAACTGAAAGTCCTTTTTATCTTCTATTCCACTTCAAGGTCACGTAAATTACTAAACAACCACGAAAATCGCAAATTTTTAAAATTAAAACACAGAATTGAATTGACAGATATCCGATTATTTCAACAGGTTTCCATTGCAACAATAAAGATGCCTGCAGCACAGGTATTACACCTGTTAAAAACTTCAAATTTCACATCGATAGTTTTCTGATTATATCAAGATTTTAGCTCACGGTTTTTTGTGACAATACAATCTCGAGCTAAATTACTTTTTCTCTTGTATAATAATAACTATTTGGATTTGAAATTTCAATGAACCAGCTTTTTGTTTTTTCCGAGGTTTTTTCGTTATGTTATTATTCCGAGAATTACTATGATAAATAAACACTTCTATTCATTAATTATTCTCAGAAGCTCTAAAAGTTACGAAAGTTAATTTGGCATTGTAAATATTATTGTATAGGTACCTCTCGATGCAGACTGCAATTAGATAAATGCACTTCATTATTGTTATCACCATGAATTGAATATTATAACATTTTAATTTCTGCACATTATACGAGAACGAGAAAACGAGATTATACTTGAGATAATACATATTTTCAGCTGATGATGTAATCCTTGATATAGGTATCCTATAAAAATTAGGCCCACCTGTCCCACTGTTTTCAATTTGTTATTGATCGATAATATGGATTACGATCGCAGTAAATGAGGTTTACTACACTGCATATACAGGGTGTCCCGAAATAACGTTCTTATACTTATTTTCATTTTACTTGATTTTTCGGGATTTTCTCTCCTCGTTTCTATAAAATAAAAATATTCTCATTATTTCAATATATTTGTAGTGGGACAAATCAGAGAGACAATCCCAAAAAATCAAGTAAAACGAACGAGAAAATGAATGTACCACCTCCTCGATTAACCAACAGACAGTGTTCTTATTATACTTACTCTACTAGGAGGTGGTTCTACAGATAAAAATTTGAAAAAAAAAAACTATCAACATGTCCGAAAATGTTTCCTATAGGCGCAATAAAGGTAGGTGCCTATACAGGGTGAACAACGATGGATGGCCTATTAGAAGCATCTGGAGAACGAAAAGACAGAACATTCTGAAAATTGCGAGGAAAATTGTGATGCTTTGATGGAATGAAGGGTGTCGTGTTGAAATGGTTAAGAAATTATCTTGAAGACCGATTTCAAACAACCAAATATCAAGATCACTGTTCGGAAAAAGTTGGGACTGAATATGGGGTGCCTCAAGGCAGTGTATTGGGTCAGGGCCTACGGTGAGATACAGTAGGCCCTGATTGGGTCCGTTATTGTTCATTTTGTATATCAACGATTTGGGCAATGCTTTACAAAATTCTTTTGTCAATATGTTTGCTGACGATACCCTGATTTCGATATGTGGAAAAAATCATGAGGAAGTAGTTATTCAAATGAATGCAGAACTCAAAGAATTGAGTAACTGGTTGAAATATAATAGGTTGAAGCTTAATGTAAAGAAAACGAAATGTATGGTTCTGGGCTCAAAAAATAACTGTAAGTCCGTGTAAAAGTCATTCTCAAACGAAAACCACGTTATTCATATAGAACAGGAAGCGATTGACTTTATGCAGGAGATTAAGTACTTAGGGGTACAAGAAGATTCATATTTGAACTTTGGGCCTCAAGTGAATAATATTTGTAAAAAATTAGGGAAAAAATTGGATATTATGGAAGAATATCTAGAAAACTAACATTTTGGGCTAGAAGAGTAGTATATAACTCCATTATTTATCCACATTTTCAATATTGTATGTCTTTACTTACCTCTTGTACAAAAAGTGATATACAGAGAATTCAAAAGCTGCAAAATAAGTGTATGAGAATATTACTCCAATGTGATAGACACACAAAGATTACAGATATGCTTAGGATGCTGAAATTTCTAAATGTTGAACAAATGATCGAAGAATCAAATTTAGTACTGATATACAAAATCATGCACAAACAGGCTCCTATGTATCTGCAATCTTTCCTTGTGAAAAGATCGGAAATGCATAGATATAACGTCAGGTCAAGAGAAAATTTCCATATAGCAAGATGTCATTCGAATGTTCTACAAAAATCTCTTTTCGTCCAGGGATTGCATCATTTCAACAGCCTTCCACTTATTGTCAAAGTTGCACCAAATATTAAAATTTTTAAGAATATGTTACGAAAAGTTTACTTTAAGATTTAGTAGGTATAGTTTATACGTATAGTTAATAGTTATTTCAAGAATTTATACTTTGTAAATATGTTTATAATTGTAAAAAATATGATGAGAAAACTAGCGAAAGCTAAATAAATCTTTCTTTCAAATCAAAATTGATAATTGAACATTTTCTATCCGAATAAAATATTTTCATCGATACAGTGTTGCCACTTCTATCAGAAACAACTAGCAACTTCGTTATTTTAAATAGAGCACCCTGTATTTTATCGAATTTTCAGATTCTCCCTGGAGAGCTGATTTCATCAATGCATCACACTAGGGGTCTAGCAGAAATGATTACAGAGTAGGGAGTTCAAAATCGATATTTTTAAATTTTAGGATTTTCTTGTGTCGAAACTAATCATTATCGATCAAAATGGCTCACATGTCCCTATCTCAACTTTCGATTCACTATCTACTGACATTTAATTGGAACAGATACAGGGTGATCAGAATTCTGAATCTTGAAGCACTCTGTATTTTTTCCAATTAAATTGAAAAATCTCGATTTTGAACACCCTATATCTCTGTAATCATCCCTGCTAGACCTTGGGTGTGATTTATGAAATCAGCTTTTCAGGAAGAATCTAAAAATGCAATAAAATGTGTTCCATTTGGAATAATATATTTGCTAGTTGTTTCTGATAGAAGTGGCAACACTGTATCGATGAAAATATTTTAGACGGATAGAGAATGTTCAATTATCAAAGCATCCCAATTTTCAGAATGTTCTGTCGCTTTGTTCTTCAGATACTTCTAATATAGGCCATCCACCGAGGATCACCCTGTATAAATGCAGTTTTCTTCAATTCTCTTGTTACCATCAGTCTGATCCTAGAACCACGAGATTTGGTGTCTTAGATTAATTTGATCTTACAAATCATTTCGTGGTACGAAAAAAAATGTAATATTCATACAGGGAGGTGCGAAATTCGTAACCGATGCTATAGGAATGCTCCAAGTTTTCTTGTATCACGATTCATTTCATTTCAAGTAGGTATACCAGAATATGATTCTTCAAACCGACTCCAGACATATTCACATAAAGAAGATACCTACGCTTTTTAGAATGCCGTAAAACGAACCCGAGAACGAACCGATTTCCAGAAACGTGTCATTTTTCATTTAGACTTTGAACGTTTGTTTCTCGGCTTGTTCGTATGAATTATTTTATTAATATTATGAATAAAGTTGTACGGGAGTATCCCGCGATGCCCAATTCTCACGATGCCCAATTCCTACGATGCTCAATTCCTACGATGCCCACTTTCATGTCGACTATTACGAAGATTGCCGAAAAGCGCAACGTTGCCAGATCAAGAGAAAAATTCAGAAAACACAAGATTCCCACCATGCCCACTTTTCATAGATTCCCACGATGCCCAATTCCTACGATGTCCAATCCCCACTATGCCCACCTTCTTTGGATACCCACCATGATGAAGGTGGAGTAATATAATTCAATGTTCGTCGTGGCATATAGCCAGGAAAATTGTTTCTGTTGAATATACCGATAAAGAGTTGATATATCCATCACAAAGAGAATGCGAGTTCTCAATGTATTTCTGTGAATACATCCATTTTGTTCATATTCATAATATATCTGAGAATATTCATTTTCAATTATTATATAAATAAATAATAAATAAATAAAATATTTATTAATCCTTTAAACTATCAGTAACAATAGATAGGATAAGTCAATATTACATGTCATAAATG